CTGAGCAGAGCCCACTCTCAACTCCAGCACAGAACTGGAAGTGGCCCCAAAGCACCATCAAGTATGTTCCCCAAAATCAAACAAAAAATAATAAGTTGTTAAAAAAAATATTCAGATTGTGCTGGAGCAATAGTACAGTGGGTAGGACACTTGCCTTGAACTTGGTTCACATGGGTTCAATCCTCAACACCATATATGGTGTCCAGAGCTCACCAGGAATGATCCCTGAGTACAGAGCCAGGAGCAAGTCCTGAGTACTTCCAGGAGTGATGAAAAACAACCCAAAACACACAAAAAGAATACTCCAATTATCAAATCATTGTTCATCCAAAGTCAGAAAAAAATAAGTAGTATCTATGCTTCAAAAGAAAAGATGCATTTAGAAATGCTTAGATATCAGCTAAAAATGAAATGACTCCAAAATTCCATTTTGATGTACTGGTCACTGTCACTGTCACTGTCTTCCCATTGTTCATCAATTTGCTCAAGTGGGCCCAGTAACATTGTGAGACCTGTTACTGTGTTTGGCATATCAAATACGTCACGAGGAGCTTGCCAGGCTTTGCCATGCGGGCAAGACACTCTAGGTACCTTGCCAGGCTCTCTGAGAAGAGCAGAAAAATCGAACTCGGGTTGGCCATGTCAACTGCATGCAAGGCAAATGCTCTACCTGCTGGTCTATCGCTCCAGCCTGATATACTAGTAAATCATCTAAACCACAGTTTATGTTTTTTTTTAAGCGAAATTTATACAAAACCATCCATCTAAAGTACGAAATTTTATCTTTGGAAATATGTTGTATAATCTCTCATCATGCTAAACTCTAAAGAGTTGCATAACAGCACACATAGCCGACTTAAAATATGAGTCTACCACAGAACCAAAAGTCTTGTCTTAGCTTTAATTCTATTCTACTGATTTGCAGACTGAATTTGAAAAAACAGAATAATTTCACTCTTGCAAGGCTATGCTGATTGGCAACCTGCCTTAAGCATTTTGAGGGAAAAATAATAATTACCAATGGATATATAAAGATTAAAAGAGATTGTAAGAAGCCACAAAGTCACATTTAATTAATTCATCAAATGAAGGAAAAAGCATGGCAAATGAAGAGTATAATAAGGCACAGAAGGAGTAACTGATTTGCATGGTTTCAATATGTGGATTCTTCCTTATATTAACACAGTCATTAAAAGGTACAGCCTAGCCCTTCTCTGGATACTAGTTTTTAAAGTTTGATCCATCATCTCCTCAGCTACTAGATCCTTTCTTTAGGTAGGTAAGGCTTACTATTTAAAACAAGTCTTGCAACATTTTTTAGAAACAAAGCAAAATGTTCTGTAAATAGATGAACCATTATGCTGAGTAAACACGCCAGAATGATTTCAAATGAAAACCATGGGGACGAGGTAGGGCAGTACAAAGTGTGCAAGGAGATTTCTTTTTTAATGACAGCACAGTTATAAATCATTTGCCTTCGTGACATGAGAATCACAGCAAGCAAACAAACTTTGGGTTTGCAGACATAGTTCACATTACCCCCTAATGCAAGTACAACATAGCGAGAGACTGCAGAGAAATGATGGAAGAAATTACTTTGAGGACAGGGCAAATACGCAGTGTCAACCAACTTTCTTTCTCTCAAATAAACTCTAGCAAGATCACATGCCTGCAAAGCAAATTCCTCTTGTTCTATAGAACCTCCTCTAGTCCAGGCATTTCTGAATTCTTCAAAAGGACTAACCTGAAGAAATATCATTATAGAATTTAAAAGAGAGAGAGAGAGAGAGAGAGAGAGAGAGAGAGAGAGAGAGAGAGAGAGAGAGAGAGAGAAAGAGAGAGAGAGAAAGAGAGAGAAACTTAAAAGCTAAAAAAGAGCCTCCAAATTTATCTAATTTAGTAGCTCTTATCATATTTTGGTGGGGAGGGGTGGGAATCACAGACTTTTCTGGGAAGCAGATGAGCTGTAGCTCTTCTCAGAAACGCGCATAAGGCACACATAAACACAATTTGGAGTTCCATTTAGAAGGGTTTGAAGTTAGTGAATCCTAGATTCAGAACTATTGATCATGTCCTTGGTCCTCATTTTTAAAACCAGAAACTGAATCCCAGGAAGGTTCAGGGATTATTTATCCAAGGTCACACAGCCTGCTCCTAACAGCGCCAGTCTTCAAACAACCCTCGATATATGTATTCCTGACTTGAATTGGGATGCTTTATCCCACATTGATACAATCAAGTTACTCATGTTTGAATTTGTGAAATGAATATTGGGCTAAGAAGATAAATATTTAGCTTCATTTTCGAACAAGCAAAAACATAATTAATAAGCACCAGAGATTAAGCTGTCCTGCTACCTCTGTGCAGTTTCTAAAAGCCCCCTCTATAAGCTGAAATTAGTATTTCTGCTAAAGGCTACTGATAGCCATACTCTTAAGAAACACCTTGAGAGACTGTGATTGGATAACATTCAAATAATGAGCCATGGATGTTGTTTAAAAGCAGTGTCTTTCAAGCATTTTTTTCCCTTAACCTTTATTCTGTTTTCAAGCCTAATCTTCTTTGGAAACCCAGATACATAAACAAAAGTCAAACAGCTGGTTGGACTTTAGGAGCTAGTTTGAAAAAAATTCAGAGTTCTAGGAGATAAAGCACATGACATGGGGCTAGGAGCTGGGCTTCACTGTTCTTAGGACTTAAATTCCTTATTTATAAAATAGTTTGTCTAGATTGTCTCTTAATTCCCTTCCAACTGAGACTTTGTTCTTGACGCTGTTTCACTAACTTACTTAATTCTTATAATCACATTATGAAATTAGGTACTATTAGTCAATAGCTTATAAAGGAACTTCATCCCAGAGACATTATGAAGACAGTAAATTGTAAATAGATTCATATATAGAGATGCACATTCATACGAATATATATTTAATATGTGACACAAAATTAAAAAGAACGTAATATTTAGAAAGGGAGTTAATTATCAATGTCAAAGAGCTGGATTTAAACTCAGGTCTGAAGATCCCCAAATCCAATCTTTTTACCAAACTGGCAACACAGGCTGGGTTTCGTGTTATACCATGAAATCTTTAAATGGCACTTATTCGTGTGTTGCTATTACGGTGTTAGTGATACACAAGTATTAATTTACACAGATGGTTTGTCTCTGAAACTGGAAATACACCCACATCAGGGATTATTTTCTAATTTTCTACTTCCTACTCTGAAAAACAATCTGAGAACTATGCAGGACTTTATTCAGTTAGAAGTGATTGTCTGGATAATTAAAAAAAATTTTTTTTAGTAAGCCCCAAAACACATACTAATTTTATTAGATCAACTTTTGAAATTTCAAAGTTCCTCCAGGTCAGCTGCTGGAAGAGGGGAGAAAAATAAAACTGCTTCGATGATTTCACATTTGTCCTTGGGGTGAAGAATTATAGTTTAGTGTCAATATTAATAAGTATCCCTTTCCAGGAACTTCTTTCACATTAATGCTTCTGGCCATCTCTCATATCAATTGACAGGTAAAAAATGGAAAATAAGCAGATGGTTAGAGATACCGGAATATCCTTATAAGATTTAGTTCTACCCCCTTTAACATTGTAGTTTGAAATTCCACAGGAAGTTGTGCTCACTGAGTAGAATTTCTAAGCAGCAGATAGATCTCACTAGTAATGTTTTCTTTAATACCATGTTATTTTGATATGCTTTACAAGTGTTATGTTCTTTCAGTGAAGATGATTTGCCCCATCATACTGAGACATACTGAGGCATACTCCATAGGGCTGCTATCCCCTGGTCCCTCAGCAAGACGATGCCCTAACATTCAAACTCTAATATTCATGTCTCAAAGAATACAAAAGAAAACCACCTAAAAGCCAGGAAATGTGTACAAAGAGTCAAGATGAACAAAACCCATCCTATTCAACATGCTATTATCTCTACAAATATACATATCTTTCATTTTATTTATAGACAGTCTTCATTTCTTTCCTGTTATCATGTCACCTCCATTCTCTAGCCAATACTCAGATGACTTGTGTCACTTACACAGATGCTTCTCAAACTGATACTGAGATCACAGGATATAGCTGTCAATGAGCCTGTCAGTGTCTCCCGAGACTAAGAAAGATGGTCAGAAAACACTCTGATGGTGCACTCGCCCTTGCCCTCTGTGGTCTGCACTGCTAAGAGAAACCGCATGAAACTGGCTGTGAGCACAGGCACCAGTGTAAACAGCTTTTGCTGAGTGAAGAGTTGCAACCTGGCTAATGCAGGTGCTGAGTCTGTTCAACAACAAATCACTCCCCTAACTGTGGCAGAAAATATCCAACAACTTTCGGAATGGGCAGAACAACCATCTCCTAACTCTGTCTTAGGCCCCTTAGAACAGAATCCGGAAGCATGGGGGGTGGGAGGTGAGACATGCTGAGGAAGCGCCTAGAAAGACCCTAGAAAGCGCCTAGAAAAATCTCAAGCAGTCACCATACATATGTGCTCTGGGTCAGTCTCACCAGTAAATTCACCAGGATCTCACATGCCTCTCTATTGCTGTCCAGAAATAGGATGTAGAGAAATACTAATGATTTCCTTGTTTGAAAAACAGACATAATACACTGATTGAAGACATGATAAAGCAAACATCATTTTTATCAAAAAGTACAAGAGAGCCTTGGGAATATAGTTTAGGGGTGAGTTTGCATACTTGGTATGCGGGAGGCCCTGAATCCCATCATCATATCTTACCTCCCCCAGCACTGCTGGGGTGATCTTGGAAGCCCCCAATATCACTGGGTCTGAGCTATTCAGGATTGGATTTCAGTCGCACAGTATTCCAACACCCATCCCTCCTCCAGTGTACATTTCCCAGTACCAGGGTCCCCAGGTCCTCTCCCACCGTCACTCCCCCCACCCTCTACCCCCTGCCTGCCTCTATTGCAGTTTCTCTCTCTCTCTCTCTCTCTCTCTCTCTCCTCTTTTGGGCATTGTGGACTTACCAATTTTTTGACGTCTTTCACATCATCAGTCACGAGGTTCTCACAGATCCCTTTAGTTTTGACAAGAAGATTAAATAGGAGCAGTTGAAGATAAATGCAAGTGATAATCCAAGTCTAAATGAAAACAGAAAATTGTTGGTGATCAGTTCCAATCTGTAAACAAAAAATTCACACCATAGGCCTAGTACGGAAAAGGTGATTGACCATTATTGTTTTCAAGTTTCTTACTTGCCAAAACCTAAGCAAGAGCTAAGCATTCAAACTATGCTGGCTGATCCATGTTTTTTTTGTTGTTGTTGTTTTTCTATTTTAATTCTCCGTTCAACTGTAGTTCTGATTTTTCACTTCAATGACATTATTGTTAATTCTGGTCAAAAGATGTCTACAGTCAATTTCCTAAGGGTAATTAGAAGTGAACTTGTAGCAACACGTAGAGTATTTATCACAGAGACTGTTTTCTAAAACCTAGAAAATGCGTACAAGTCATACCTCAAGGCACAAAAAGAAAGTTTCTCTACTTTAACCGTGGGCTTTCTGCAAGTGGTAGCATAACCCTCAGCAATGCTTTAACCCACAGCCCTTGAGAGTATCCCACCAAGTGAAGAGGAAGGAGGTTTTAAGACCTAAGAGAGAATGTAAACTAATTTGTGAAACATCAAAAGAATCAATACTTTGAGTCAGAGCTTTCTAGCCATTTAATAAGGAAAGCTATTTCCTTCGCCAAAGGGAAGACATTCCTTTCGGAACCCTAGCTGAAGTCATGCCATATATCCATGCAAACACACACACACACACACACACACCACACACACACACACACACACATCTTTTTTCAAATATGACACATTAAATCATCCATTAATTACTTTCATACGACTGAATTCTATTATGTTATATTTTAGATTTTAAAGAAATGTCTTAGTTTTTGTTGTTGTTGTTGTTGTTTTATAAGCCTTAATATATAAAAAAAAATTTCCCAACTGCAGAAACAGTTCAAAGGGTTTGTGTGCATGCTTGTAGGACAGAAGCCTGGGTTCTATCCCTGGGGCCAGCATGTTCCCAGAGGACCCTAGAGCTATATATAGGAAACAGTCCCAAGCACAAATGTAGCACAAAAATGAAAAAAAAAAAAACATCAAAGTAACAAAACCAAATCCTTCAATACACCTTTGCTGGATTCAAAAATAGTCTATGCTTACAATTCAATATGGATTGACTGAGCACATTTTCTGAGGCAGGGACCGAGCCAATCACTAAAGAAACAAAGATGATGAAGTTGCCCTTGAAACTCAGGAGCCGGCCCATCAATAATACCCAGACCCTTGATAAATGCTTTGGGAGCACAAAGGAGGAAGCAACATATTGATGAACCTTAAACACAGAAATTGTGGCAGGAAGAGAGTGTGCCAAGGAAAAAACAGAAAAAAACGTGACTTCAGCTAGATTTTGGATGACAGGAAAGAGTTGGCTGGAACAAAACAGCAACAAATATTTCAGGAAAAATAAACATCAGGAGCAAAGTTGTGGAAATGCGAAGATAATCTTCACAAATGTGAAGTGGATGAGATTTCTTTTATGGGCTAACATTTGTGGATATTACATTAAATCTCATCTGCATGACTAGAAAGCCATCTTATTTTTGTAAATAGCCATGTATTGAAAACACTGACTTACGGGCTAAACCAACAGTATAGTAGGTAAGGCATTTGTCCTGTATTATGGCCTACTTGGGTTCAATACCTGGCATACCAAATGGTCGTCCCCTGAGCTCGCGAGAGCTAGAAGTAAGCCCTAAACACTGTCCTATGTGCACCCATCTCCCCAAAAATGTGTTATTATTTTTGTTGATTATTTATTTCTATTTCGGGGCTATACCCAGCTATGCTCAGACTTATTTCTGGATCTGTGCTCAGTGATCATTCCTGGAGGTGCTCAGAGAACCATGTGGGATGCTGGGGATTGAACCTGGGTTGGCTAGGTATGAGGCAAGCACCCTATCCACTATACTATTGCTCAAGGCCCTATATTATTATGTTTAATTCATATTTGGAAGTTGAATTGATATTAAACTTGATCAAATGATAATTATAATTTGGTGCAATTTGTTAAGGCTATAATGCAACCCACAGAGATATAGCACATTTAAAATTAAACACCTTTAAACTGTTTTACTATTGTGATCTTTTAACTGTGATCCTGCTTAATTTTATTTAGAGTACTTTTAGCACGGTGGAGTCAGATTCTTCATAGCACCAAAATAAAGTACTTAGTATTTTGAGGGCTCTTATTTTGAACAATCCCATCATATAAAACATCCACTAATAGAAATCCTCCTCCGGGTATAAAAAACATGATTTGTTAAACCCAAATTTACTTTCACATTATAACTGCAAAGACCTAAGCCCTCTTGAAATAAATTTCTTCATTGATTTGACTTAGGAAGTTTTCCTAACTCTTTTGTAAGCAGACAATCTCACTAACAAACATTTTCATGTTCTAGGATTTATGAAATATCGTGAAAGGAGTTCTGTTACTTTTCTTAATCATATCTTATGTATACTAATGAAGAAACTTAAACAAATGTTTGTTCACTCGTGTGTCAACAAAACTTTATTGAGCAGTACCTGAAGCAATACCAGTGTCTTAGCATATCTGCCTTGCCAGCACCTGGTCATGAGTTCACACGCCCAGTGTTGCCACATGCACTGAGCTCAATCAAAGCAGTTCTGATGCTTGAACTTGGTGACTCTGATGTCTGTCATTCCCAATATCACAAGTGATTTCCAGCAGTACCACAGCCTGTAAGCACCACAAACAGGTGTGTGAGTCCTGGCAAGCACCTCAACTAAAAAGATGTAAGTGCCAAAGCCAGGAAGTGTAACCTTTGGCCCTGCAAGCACCAAAACTATGATTATTATGCTTCCATAAAGAATATGATCACCATGGGTCTGAGTGATAGTACAGCTGATAGGGTGCCTGCTTTGCACACAGCTAACCCAGGTTGGATCCCTGGCACCCCACTTAGTCCCCTGAACTCTTTAGGAGTAAGTTCTGAGTGCAGATCCAGAAGTAACTCTTGAGCCTCACCAGGTGTGGGCCACAAACCTAAAAAAAAGGAACAAAGGAAAGAAGGATGAGAGAGAGAGAGAAGGAAGGAAGGAAGGAAGGATGAAAAGAGGGCAGTACCCAGTGAGTATGTGTGTGCAAGCACTACAATAAAAGGAATTCAAACCTTGGTGAGCACTGCAAGCATGTGAGCACTGTAATAGAATATGCGGAATGCAGTAAGCACCACAACTGTGGCATGCAGTTAGCACCACAACCAGGTTTATGTGCCATGCTGGGTCATCAGAACAACATAAAAATAAAGGGAAATAGGGCAGAGGAGGAATAAAAGAAAAGCCATTGAGCTGCTGCTATGTGCCAAGCATTGTCCTAGATGTTAGGAATATGCCGGATTTTTCAAAGGCACAGATCCCTGCTCTTGTGAGTTTGATGTTCTTTCAAACGAGCAAAAGTAGATGCTCACCTACAAACAAAAGTGCCTTGATTCTATATTCTTTTCAAATGTGTGAACATGGAAAAAAAAATGAGATGGAGGTAGGGGGACTCTACTGTCTACTCTGATCTAAGAATAGCAGTGATATTTTTCAGGTGGACAGTTACATTCAGGAGGCATCAGAGTTTTTACTGAGAACTGAGGCAGTTTTTACTGAGAACTGAGGCAGTGTTGAGCTTGGGGCAGGAAAACAAAGAACATGCACTTTAGCAGGACGGCAGGAATCTGAAAGAGCCAAACCCAAGCAGTCTCCACTTAGTATGTGTGGCAATGAGGATATTATGTTGGTTGATGGTTTTGGACCACTTCCTTGGTTCTCTAAATCTGTGAACTGGTTCTATAGCAACTTCAGGCACTGATAAGCTTCCATTCATCGCTAACAAAGTCACCTCCCACTAGTTAGTTGTCCCAATATTAAAGCGTATCCAGGTCAAAGTTCTGCAACCTAATAACTTTAGCAGGAGAATCCTGCTAAATTCTTTATTCTGGGTCATAGTAATTTTAGCAAGATAATCCTGATAAATTCTATATTCTATTCTAGAATTTAGAATCCTGCTAAATTCTGTTCTGCTAAATTGCATTTTCTTCAAAATAGCAGGATTCTCCTGCAAAAGTATGTTATTGTAAGTTCTTTGACTTTCAATTGCAAAGAGGGTTACAGAGAGGCTCAAGTTTGGAGATTGGACCACAGAACTGGGTCTAATACCCTTTCTTTACTGTAGGATGTGGGAATGGATGCAGCTTTAGGTTACTACATGGTGTTGGATGCAGTCTCATTAAGAAAGCAGTCACTTCAGCAAACAAAAAATAGAGCTAAGGCAGTGATCCAAGCAGATGCTTGTAAAAAGCATACTGCAGACAGCAAAGCTGGTGCAAAGTCCCCATGTTCATTTAGGAATCTGTTTGATTTAAAAGAATAGTAAAAGTAGCTCAGGGGTACTAGAAGATAATGACATGTGATTGAAAATGGAGAGACTGGTTCATATGAAATTTTGCTTTGTTTGTTTGGGACCCACCCAGTGTGCCCAGCTCTTACTCCTGCCTCTCCACTGGCAGGGCTCAAAGGACCGTAAGGGGTGTCAGGGATCAAACCTGTGTCTGCTTCATGAAAGGTAAGCATCATACCTACTGTATGATCACTCTTGTCCTTCATGTAGGTTTTGTACTTTTATGCTCTGGATTTTTGACTTTCACTCTAATAAGCTATAAATATGTTTATATCCCTCCTTCTAGGATTCTAAGCAGAGGTGGAATATAAGCATAATTTAAAAACAGCTTTAAAAGATTCCATGCAAGACAAGGGTTGTGTCATACATGCTTTACATGTGTGAGCCATTGTGTTTGATTCTCAGAACCACATATGTAAGACAATTGGGCAGTTTCTCACAGAACTACTAGCACCCATACTATGCGCTCCTTGATGTTTACCCAAAGCAATTGCAGACATGTTGATACAAAAGCTTTCATTCTGATTTTGAGTGCAGCCTATTCCTAGCTGCCAAAACTAGAAAATCTTTGGCAGGTGAATGGTTAGACTCTAGTAGACCCGGAAAGT